TTGTGTGTTGCATTTGAAAACATCTTAGCAGTTCTATATTGTACTGGTTTTGCAGATAATGGCAAATCTTTGATTTTTTCATGATTTCTGCTTTGATTTTAATATTACGGAACAGTTATTCAGATGCACGTATAAAACAATCTTTGACATATCTGACGTGAAAGGTTTTACTCTTTTTGCGATTTCTAATGATACTGCACCAGCTTGGCGGATTTACATTATTGAAAGATTGTGCCCAGTTGCTTAGCTTGGAACTCTTTTTTTTCATGCGTCCCCGTTTGGATATTTACCAGCAAACTGGGTATATTTTGTATTGAAGTGTCTCTCCAAATTCGACTTCTTATTGTGTTTTCGGTGGCATATGAGAAAACTCGGAAGGCCATCAGTGTTGCATATGAATGCGAACGATTCTGCCCAATCCTGATTGAGTTCTCAGTTTTCTTCTTCAGTTCTTCTCTTTTTTTACCAGCTGCCATGCTGACAGCGGAGCTGTGAACATTAACAATAGTTCAAATTAACAGTACAGGAACAATGGTTCAAATTTATCTTATTACGGTCATGTTAAGCGTAAGTAACGATTATGAAAATAGAAGCTATTGAGAAATTAGGTATTTAAAAATATTTTTCTTATTTTTTAAGGGTTTTGATAATAAATTATTAGCTTTTCCGTATGGAACTAGAGAGCCGCAGGTTGCTGACCCCTGCACTAAACAGTTGCGTAGCAAGTCATCTGGGATCTGTAATTCATAAAATATATAGGAATTAAAAACAGATTGATAAAATGGAAATTAATTGCAAATGTAGCCTGAAAAAGAAATATTACTTATAAAATGTCAGAGTTTAGTAAGTTTAATTTAGATCTGTAGTAAGCTTAATTTGTATTGAAATAATACCTTTTAGCAAGGATTTAAAAAAAAAAAAAAAAAAAGGGAAGTTAATGAATAAACAAACAAAAAGAATATGATGGAAATGTAGAAGGAAAAAAAAATAGTGTCATATACTGTGACTTGTTTTCATATGCTTGTGTTTTTGAATTTTATTTGAAAATATGAGTAACTAAATAGTAGCAAAATAATAAGTTTATCTTACATGTACTGTTGATTACCTTTTTTTTTTTCCCCCCATCATCAAACCCACTTGTTTTGAAAAAAAAATTATTAAAAGCATTCTTGGGTTAAAAAAATTCAAAAATTCTGAAAATGAACAAACAGTGTATCTAGAATAAAAACACAAAAATAATGGGACATTTAATATTGTGTTATATATATTTTGCTATTCTTCCATAGAATTTTTGTATATTCTTCCATAGAATTGCTTTTAGTGAAGCTTTAAAAAAAAGTCATGTTTCCATATTCTTTCTGTAACTCACTCCATATATGTTTGACCGGTTTTAAGTCTGTAAAATATGGATGCATTATGACAACTTCAGGTCAATTGTATGGAAACCTTAAGCGAACATTGAAATATAAGTGTCTGAAAGCCAATGTGATCCATTGTAATAACACATTATATTGTCAAAACTGTGTCTCTGTGACCACGTAATGATCAACCAAGGTCAAGAAGAAGAAAACATGAATTCCAGAATGTTATTAAAAAATTGCTTAATTAATATTTTTGATCATTTGTCTTTTAAAATGAAGCAGAAGATCTTGAAAACTTCTAGACAATATGAAACCAACATTTTAAGATGTTTAAATCTAGTACTGATATAATTATACAGTCAAAAGTCGTTAATCCGGACTCGTCGGGACTTTGGTGATTCCGGATTATCGATTTTTCCGGAGTATAGATCATCAGTTTAAATCTGGTAAGATGGCATGCAGAAATTATAAAATTAAAAATATGAAATCGTAGTTTTTAAAATAAAGAACAATTATGATCTAAAGGTATCAAAATTTACAAAAAAAAAAAAAAAAGCTTAATATTTATTTGTTTACTTTATTAAACATTTCTTTCAATGTAAGTTGTTTAAGTTGCTTCATTTTTTATGTGATAATACGTTCTCTTTAATTCTATAAACACACATAATTTCTTGTTAAGTTACAAAGTTCCACCGTTCAAGTCCTATAATTGCTGTGTCGAGAATACCGACTAATTTGTCAATCAAAATTTTTTCGTTTTCAATAACGTCTGTCACTTTCTTCGCTATTGGAAGCAAATTATAATGATGAGGAATTTGATTTAAATCATATCAAAGACGGAGTACATCGAGATGAAATACTGCATTTAGTAAGGAATTATAAGCCAAATAAAATAAAAATATCTGCCCTGAAGATAAGGATGGTGCTGACAGATCAACTTCCAATTCATTGCGCACCATGGCGTTAAAGATAAACAAAGTTTAGATAAGCAAACGTTAAAGTTTAGATAACCAAACGATATGCCTTTATCCATTTTTTGTAGCAATTCCACTTTTTGTTTAATGGATTTCGAAACATACTTTCGCTTTGTAGATCCTTTACATATTAGCAAATATATATCAGAAATTCTATTTGTCATAATTGAAAGTTCAAGCTTACTTTTATAAAATTGCTCTAACAGTCTGCAAAAAATAATAAGCCGAATCCAATTCGAAGATTAAGGAACAACGCAATCTGCGACATTAACTGAATTAGATAATTTTAGCTTAGCTTATACCGTCGTTATTCATTAAACGCACATTCGTAAACGTATTTTGCGCACACGCATATTTGCAGCCGTAAAGACAAACTTTCTGCGCATGCGCAGAAAGTTTGTAGCTTTGAGGTCCGGATTATAGATCATTCCGGATTATGGTTGTCCGAATTAACGACTTTTGACTGTATATATATATATAATGTTGAATCGATCTAAAATTCACTTAGTTCGAAAACAAGTTTTTCTAATACTTCCGCAATAGCTGCAAAGTAACACCAAAAACTGATAAATTATGTTAGAGATTTGGAGCAAATTTAATTTAAAAGTTTTTTCCTTTCACTTTTATTTGATGGTGCAAGCAGTGAAATTCTGGGATTTTTTGTTTAAAAAATAGTATATATATCTATAAAAATCATTCAAACATTTAATAAAAAATCTAAATTAAATTTTTGAAAAATTGCTTCAAGATATGCACCTTCATTGTCAACGCAGTATGTATACAAAATTTTATGACTTCAGGCATATCTGCCAAGCAATAAATTCACAGGTCCTTCATTTTATAATAATAAAAATGAATAATAAAAACAGGGTTTGTATGGTCCTTGGGTTTTCTGGAATTGAATTTTGGTCCTTAATTTCGGCCAAAATCGGCAGCAGGTCCTTAATTTTAATTATCTGAAATTTTTGCCTATTTTTACGGCTGCCATTTTGAGCATGAATTAGCATTTTGAAAAAATATTTTTACCGATTCACTGATAAATATGGTTATCTTTTTAAATGGGTGAATGAGTTATAATTTGTTCCTATTTCTAATACAAGCGTTGGGATAATCGAGATTCTGGGCAAAAAGTGAAGCATAAGCATTTCAAATTTATTTCATTTTTTCTAATGAAGCGCTCTTAAACAACTTTTCGCTTTTGGCGATGTGAATTCTTTTATTAAATAGTTCTAGATTTGGCAATGTATCAACATTTTGTCGATTTTAAGATCACTTTCTATAGAAAAATGTTTTTTCGAAGATTGGGAATTTTTCAATGATTTTTTTTAACACTGGAAAATCATTAAAATAATGATAAAATATTGAAATTTTGTTTAAGAAATAACATTAAAATAGAAAATTTTTATTTTTCACTTCAATATTATAAAGTTATATTATTTTTTATTTTGGACACTTATGCAATCTTTTATATCTGAAAATTAAACAAAGTAATAAAGCAAAATTTATGAAATAATTCTTAGCAAAAGCAAAATAACTATGTAATTAATTAAAAATGTCTTCTGTTTAATTTTTTCATGGTCAGAGTCCCATGCAGTGTCTCAGAAAATGCATCATTTTTCTGTATAAAATGATTTATACATATTTCTCTTTTTTGTTTCCTTTCACCTCAAAATATTTCTGGCATTTTGCTGTTACAGGATTGGAAGAAGTAGTTTTTCTTTAGGACTTTAGGTATTGCAACGTGGAAAGTTTAGAAGAATTTGAAGGCAAGAATTATACAGGGTGATTCTAAATTGCTTTTACAAATTAAAAGGGGTGATAGTCTTTGCATTGCTGCTTGAAAGTATAATGTGAATATTAATCATATTATGATATGCAACTACAATTCATTCAGTAGATCTAAACTTCTGATGTAAGTAAATAAAATAGTTATAATAAAAGGAATGCATGATACATCAAACAAGTTTAAGGTATGCAGTTCCTTTTTCTGTTGTCTTCATCATTAACTGCAGTGTCATTTCATTATATTTTAATATTAAAACATAATTTCATCTACATAAAATTTAAACAAAGCCCTTCAGTGGATAACAGCTATTTCTAACGGGAATTTAATTGCAGTTTTTTCATCATTTGACAATTGTAAAATTGTAAAATCTATATATATCTGTCATGAAAATATCAGCAATGAGTTCATATAGTGGTGTGGTGTATTTAATTATGGCAAAGCACACTAGGGCTATCTGCCTAAGGGGAGCGATGCCTTTCGTGGAGGACTTTCTAAGGGAAACTGGCTTGTATATACGTTACACATGGGGAAAACCACGAAAACGCCCATGCAGCCAGCCCGTTTCGCGGGATTCGAACCTCGGACCGAACTACCAGTGTTCAGCGACTTTACCGCTTGGCCGCTGGTGGGCTGAGTTCATATATTATGCGAGAAAGGAGACGCAAAACGTCTGGCTCAATTCATCATTATGAGATTACTGTGCTTGGTTCACTTGTGCTTATTCCGCTACCTCTTTTAAATGAAAACTGCCCTCGTTTATTGTTGATTGTTATGAAATTTTATATTTATATGTTTGGTATGCTTTGTATTCAAGCTGTAAAGAGTGTTTGATTTTAAAGTTTATATTATAATATTTTTTTCATAAACATCTTTTTCAAGGTAAATATTCAGAATAAGAAGAAAGTATCCATTTTTAGTAATTAGCTCACAAGAACTGGATATTGCTCAAAATTTGTATATGGTATGTATGTACATTCAAATGCTTCTGAAATAATGCTTGAAGTCTTTTACGATTTGCTATAATGCATTTAAAGCGACTGGAATAGGTTAAGAATGTAATAAAAGCACATATTAGACATTATTATAAATTTAATAAAAATTTGCCTTTCTCGTGAAACCAGATGAAGATATATTTGCATTCCTTCCTGATAGAGGATGCCCATCCTCTTAAATACAGTCTTAGCACCAGAAATTATCTTTTCATGTCTTAAATAAGTAGCACACAGATATTAGAAAATTAGCAGTGATTGAGAAAAATCTGAAATAGTACATGTATTACAATATTTAAAACTGCATTCTGGAGACCATGTTTTGGAAATAAATTGTAAAAATTCAAAGCAGTTGTCTTTCCTTGTTTGCATTTTGTCATCACTAGCAGAAACAGACAAATTTTAGAATGCTTTTTTACTTAATAATGACTCTTCATTTATTAACGTGATCTTGCTCATAATTTAGTTGATATTTGTGTTTTCCATTCAAAAGTTCTGATGGAGTTAAGGAAGGTATAACAATAACATTAATTTGTTGTGAGTTCATTGCGAGTCCTTAATATACTCAATCCAGTATAAGAACTATTTTACTATTAGCCATTCAAGGGCAGACCATCCTCTCTAGCTCTGCCTAAGAATGTATGCGTATTATAAGAAATTAATATTTATCAGACCCATGGCAAGCAATTTGTTAGTATATTTTTTCATGTGTATTAATTTTTGAAAACGTCTTAAACCTTTTGGAGCAGCAGCTCTTGGTAACTTTTAGGCGAGCTTTCTACAATTTTTATTTTTTACTTATTTTGCAGCATATTGCGCAAGATGTTTTCTTGACCAAAATTGGTTTTTTCAAAAATTGTTATTACTGCTTTGCTTGATAAATTATTAACTATTTTTAGTTATACATTTATCTTTAATTCAGAAGCATACATTTAATGTACTGTAATATATATTTATTTTAGTATTTTTTGGAGCTTGCATGTTAAAATATTAAGGTGTAAAAATAGATAATTGGTCTGGTGTGTGACAATAGTGTTAAGTATTTTAATTAAATTTTTATGTGTTAGCAATATACACTAATGTCCATAAATTAAGGATAATTCGGAGTCGCGCGGAAATCGAACTCTAAAATAAATATATCACCTGTAAAATCACTACACACATCTTCAAAAATCATATGCAAATTTCAGGAAGTAACCAGATGACACCGATGGTATGTGTAATGACGAGAGTGTAAAAGAGTGATATATAAGGAATACAGGCAAAGAAGTAAAATTGTTCGCAGGCGCTTTATAAGCATTTCAGTGCAATAACCGAATAGTTATGACACAAAGGATGCATTTGAATGATTTTTACGTGGTAGAATTATCGGCCGTCTGGAATGTGGGCGTACCCAACTGGAAGTATCAGACAAACTTGGAATTGCCCAGAGTGTTATCTCCAGCCTTTGGCAACGATTCCAAGATGATGGTAATGTGAGTTGACGTTACAGCACAGGTCGCCCCAGAGTTACAACGCCGAATGAGGACTGGTATCTGGCAGTTACTGCCAAAAGAATCAGGCGAAGCACAGCCTCAGACCTGTCTCGTCAGCTCTCTTCAGCCACTGGTACGACAATTTCAAGGCAGACCGTGTACAGACGCTTAGGGCAGATTGGTCTATATGCTTGTAAACCTGTCAGATGCGTTCCACTTACTGCAACTCACTCTCGCCTGCGGTTAGCTTGGCGTAGAGAGCATGCATTGTGGACACCGCAACAGTGGGCTTGTGTGATGTTTTCCGACGAGTCCAGGTTTAGCTTGCAGTCTGATTCTCGCCGGACTTTCATATGGAGAGCTCCAGGTACCGTTACTAGCAAGATCACATCATTGAATGGTACCGTTGCGGTGGTGCAGGAGTGCTCGTTTGGGGTGGAATTATTCTGGGTTCCAGAACTGACCTGCATGTTCAAATTGAAACCACGACAAGCCAAATCTATCGGGATGTCATTCTGGAAAACATGTACGTTTGTTTCGGGGTGGCATGGGCACACAATTTGTGTTTATGAATGACGACGCCCGTCCTCACCGTGCAAACATCGTAAGCGAATGCCTTCATTCGAAGGATATCACCCGTATGGACTGGCCAACATTCTCACCGGACTTGAATCCAGTAGAGCACGTGTGGGACATGCTTGGCTGACCAGTTGCAGCCCATCAACCTCCTCCTACATGTCTACCGAAACTTCGGAGTGCATTGATTTTTGAGTGGTGTAATATCCCCAAGATCAGATCGATAATTTGATACTCAGCATGCTTAAGTGTTGTGCGGATTGTATTGCATCGTCCAGGAGACATACAATGTATTAACAATCATACCACCCATGTAATATTGGTTTTTTGTAAAATTTTTTTTTTTTTTTTTTTGTAATTTGCTCCAGGGAGAAAAAATAGCTAATTTTTTAATAATACCAAACATATACACATATACCATCTTTTTTTGCTCTTTACCTTTTGTTTAATAAATAAGCTTTACAAATAAGTCAAATTTGTTTTGCTTCTAACTCTTCCTTTGCCTGATTTTGCGTTATCCTTAATTTATGGACATGAGTGTATATAAGTGATATTACCAACTATATGAATATAGTGTATGAGCTTGTAGTAATAATATTGATGGCAAATTAACTAATTCAATAACCTTATAGAAACAAAAAAGAAATTATTTAAAGTTATTAACCGTTTTATGATTAGCACTGGTTATATCCAGCATCCATTAAATTCATCACACTGGCTAGCTGCAGTTGTAGTAAAGGTATTCAGATTAGACATTTTCCATTTAATGCAAAGAAAAGAAGTTTGTGTGCACTCTAAAACTAGTATATATATATATATGTATATATATTGAGTATTATAGTTAAAAACTAAGTGATTAATAAACAGTAATATTACAAACAGAAGTATAAATGAACAGGTTTGTAAGTTGTTACATCTAGGTCTAGTGCACATATGTGTTTTAAAATAGTAAATGGTTTAGGTTTTATCATCTTTAAGATGAAGTGCATGAGACAGAAAAATGGGCAGCTGCTGAACAAGACTGATTTGGAAAGCTGTGAGGAAATTTAATCATATATGAACACAACATATCAAAGGTTAAAAAAAAAAAAAAAAAAAAAAAAAAAAAAAAAAAAAAAACAGTTAAATATACTGGTGTAGTGGTGAAACTCTTAAGAAATTGAAGATACTAACTTGTCAAGAAACTAAAATCATGTTGACAGATAGTTTTGCCATTACAAAAGGGTTAAAAATTTATAAATTGTGAGCAAGCTTACATTCATGTAGAATCTTTGTTAAGTTAGATTTAAGAATAAAATTTTGACACTTATCTTTTGTAGAAGGAACTTTAAAATCCTACAGGAAACAAGCATTTCTGTCATTAAACCTGTTTGATGATAAAGAAAGTAGTATTTGGAAATTTATCATCGTCCCTTTATAAAAGCAGCAAAAAATGAGTAGTACTTGGGTGCTATCGCAATCACCTTAGTCACCAGATTTTCAGAATGTGCCATACTCTGGCAGCCATGCACATAACCATTCATCAGGCACCATGCTCATAACAATCCTTCAGTCAAGCAATGTTTCTATTTCCGTATTTTTGCTTGCGTACAGGTTCATAATAGATTAAATGCACACAGAAGTGACTCGTAGTTTGATAGTAAGTTTATTTTTTTTTATCTAAAGAAAAATTATTTATTTTAGTTATTTATTTTATTTTATCTAAAGAAACACTTCATAGTTCTGAAACTTTCCATAAAAGTACTTATACAGCTCTTTACAATATCACAAAGTACGATGAGTAGTTACACCTCACACTTCTAAACATGATAGACACACTGCAATGCAAAGCACAGCTAAAGAGCATTGTTAACACGATCTCAGTACTCTGAACTCATGTTGAACCTAACAACTGAGAAACTAATGCTCTCTCCAGTCTTACATAGTTTTCACTTGACCGTCAAGATATTTCTAAAGGTATATGAGGGCTGGATATGGTTAGAGCTAATATAGGAATTGATTACAATTATACAGGGACTGGATCAAAATGCTGCCAAAAATTAATTGCTAAAACTGTTGCCAGCTTTTTGATATCTCCCCAAATTAGCCATTTATTCAGTGTTAAATAGACTTGTGCCTATATCTAATTGTTCCGGCTGAGCATTATTTCTCAACTTTTTCATATTACGTTATAGAGAAAAATACAACTATTTATCATATAATTTCATTAAAATTATCTGTCTGTACAAAATTTGTAACATTGCACCCTTCCCAAGGATTGCATGTCCCAGGTAGTGTCCCTGGACAGGAAGCCGTACTTACAACTATAGGAAAGAAATGCAATACTTAAAAAAAAAAAAAAAAGTGAATAAGATAAAACAAATCAATAATTAAGTGCATAAATTTACAAATTTAGAGACAAGTAGGACCATGATCTTAGTATACTATTTACATTATATACATTATGGGAGAACTATGTACTCTGCTTTTGTAAGATGCTAGCTTGTTGTAATGAATGACTTAAAATTTGACAACTTACGGATCTGAACTCTGTGTTTTTCAGCCTGTTTAGGATTGTGTAAAGACCGTCCCAAGCTGATTGTAGTTTAGGAGAATCCTTTCCATCAAATAAGATTCCATAACCACATCTTGTTACCTTCATTGTATCAGTGTCCTGTAACTCTTGTATCGTATTGGGTCTTCACTTCTCCATCGCCAAGTTGACTCACTTTCGTGCAGAACTGTGCATTATTTCAAACCATGATTGAAGATCTTAAATGTGCTTCTCAGCCAATGAAGGTGCATTCAGAGGGTGACCGAATGAGAGATCACAAGGCAGAAAGTCACGAGCAAAGAGTATCTGCGATGGGAAATATCTGGCAGCCTCATGGACAGCACTGTGATAAGCCAGTAAGAACAGAGATAACTTCTTGTGTCACTACTGTTGTTTCTGGAAACCAGAAGCAGTCACATTAAGAATGATTGGATTAAACCTCTTTACCATGCCATTTGACTGGGGATGCAGAGGTTATGTTTGGGTTTTCTCAATGGCCAGTAGTTTGCAGGGTTCCTTAATTACAGTCTTACAGTTGAGAGGAAATTCCTTTCTTTATAGGACATAACTGAAGAAGCATTCCTAACATGGAAATCCAGTGCTGTACCTCTGCTGCCATGACAGTCTCTTGATCAGGGATAAGATGCACTTCAGCCCGCTTTGTGATGCAATCAATGGCAATGAGGATGTATTTGTTGTTATCAGCAGTTTGTGGCAAAGCTCCACAAGATGTCAAAGGCAATACTTTAAAAAGCGCTTCTATGTTATAACGTTGCAGCTTTTCTCAGCTACGTTTCTTAGGTCCATTTCAACCCACACAGGCACCATAATATTGACAACACTTCTGCATATCAGCCCTTGCATTACTCCAATAGAAGCATTCTCATACTTTCTAAACTTCATTATTCCAAAGTGATCTTCTTTTGGAATGCTGTGTAATTCTTTAAAGATGTCCAGGAACTTGGAATTATCAGCTGCCATTGGAATGCCTTTCCGGCATCCAATTTGAACTTCCGGTACAAGACATCGTTTCAAATATGGAGTGAATCCCAGAGAATCCAGTATGGTTTTGTTGTAGGACTACAGATAAAAATGTCTTGCCAAGTAGGTTTCCTATTTGAAGACTCCACATTAAATCAATTATGGGTTTAATGTCACCATTCTCCAACTGGTCTTTCCTGACTTGTTTGTCACTATATGGTTCTCGATCAGCCAATGTTGTAACTTGATGTGTGACTAGATTAACCAACTCTTATTTTTCTTCACAGGGCATCAGCATTTCCGTGTGACCATTCTTTCCTATTACGGATAGTTAGGTCACATTCCTGGAGTCTGTATCCATCTGGCTATTTGGTCTTCAGGATGCTTGAAATTTAGAATCCAGGTCAACGACACATTATCTGTGCAGAACAGGAATTTTCTTCCATAGAGATAATGAAGGAAATGTTCTTTGGCTTTTAGCTACTGTGAACAACTCTTTCTTGGTGACACAGTAATTCCCCTCTGGTTTAGGTAGACACTTGTTCTAGTATGCTAGGACACATTCTTGACCATTTAGTCTTGGGACAAAACTGCACTGACACTCTCATTGGTTACGTCCGTGCCAAGAATAACTGGTTTGCTGAGCTGAGGATAGGTCATGTTTGTCGCAGATGTTTAAGCTTCCATCAATTTATCAAATGCGTCCTCTCATTATTTTGTCGACAAAAAACTATTACTTGCTCTTCATTAGTTTGTGAAGGGGTCTTGTGATGGAAGAAAAGTCCTTCACAAATCTCCTGTAGTTTGTGCAAATCCTCTGGAAACTTCTTAGCTGATGGGTATTTTCAAGGCATCTCCAACCTTTAAATTGCTAACATATTTTCTAAAAACATACCCAAACCTTGGGCAGAGATGACATGTTTAATGTAAGTCACTTCCTATCTGAACAATTAACATCTGGCGGAACTTAATTTTAGATTTGCTTCCTTCAATTTCTGAAGTACCTTCCTAGTATTTTCTAAATGTTCTTCAAAACTCTTCCCGATGATGATATTAAACAGGTTTTGTTGGAAAGACCTCTCAACACAGTCTGTGTGAGGCATTCGCATGTTGCGAACTGCTAAATGTTATGAATATTGATGACAAGTTATGAAAAGTTACAAAATAAAAAAAACTGCTAAATGTTATAATTTAATGTTTGAAATAAGATTCATTCATGGTATTTGATAGGCAAATGACTAAGCTTTGACAATAGGGTTTTTTTTTTTAAATTTATTTATTTTTTATTATTATTTCTTCATTGAGAGTTCAAATGTCTGTCTGGTCTGGCATATGCACAAATAATTCTGCCTGATTTCCATTCAAGAGGTAGGATGTTTTCTTCCTTAATCAGGAATAAGTCATTCACAGGCATATGTTCGGGGAATTTCTGCCACTTATTTTGATGCTGTAACGTAGAAAAATATTCTCTTCTCCTTTTTTCCAAAATTTTGGAAAATTAGTTTTGTCAATTTTCACCAAAAAATTTTGCTTGGAATCCTGTTTTTTTTTTTTTTTTTTTTTTTTTTTTAAATATGTAATATAATCATAATTTAGGAATTAAAAATTGTGTTTGAAATTGCTGTTCTTTTCATATGTTGATAATGTCTGCCAATTTGCAATAAATATCAACAGTTTGAAAATCTTCTTTTAGAAAACGTGAAAACCACCAGCTTGCACCTGATAAATAACTTGTACCTTTTCATTTATAAAAAATCATCAAATCATGCCAAGGTGGTGGCATTAATATGTAAGTACCAAATCTCTAGCCTAATATAGACACTTTCAGCATATGCAGTGAAATTTTTAGATTTTAGTTCAGTCCAAGTTCCCCTCTTCCTTCATCATGAATGACAAGCAGTAAATACATAAAGATATTTGCAGCTCTTTTACCTGATAAGATAAATATCTTTTGTGTGAACTTTGAAAATTTTTTCTAAAACCAGTTAATCTGCAGCTTTATATTCTATGTGGTTCAGCCCATTTTTGTGCTAAATTGTAAATAAATTTTATAATTGTCACTAGAGAAATGCCTAATATTTCATTTATAATTAAAGATAAAAATTTATAATCTTAAGCTTTTTTATTAATGTAATCATTAATTACTATACATTTATCATTTTATATTGTCATGTAAAATAAAAAAAGTACTACTCAGGAAATGGAGTAATATTTTTTTTCTGCTAAAAAATAGCTAAACTGCTATTATTGACGCCTGTGATGCACAATTAAATGTGATAAGCCTAATAGTACACAAGTTTGATTTCACTCAGCTCATGAGTTCAGTTTCTTTTTTGCAAGAAATAAATATCTATTTAAAGCCTCTTTTTAGTTGCAGTTTCTAATCACTTGGTGAAAACTTTATTAGCTGTCATTAAGAAAAATATTATGGAAGGAACAATTATTTACATGGATTGTTAGAAGGCATTTAGTAATCAAATGAACTGTAGGTGCTGGCTTCAAACATTTCACCATGAACCACAAGTTTCACTTTGTTGATCCAGAAAGTGTATGTCACACTGAAACGGTAAAGCATTTTTGGGGAAGCGCAGCTGTTGACATCGAGGCACGGCTCAACAACACCTCGAGTCACATTTGTCCGAGTTTATGTGGTGACAAATGCATAAAAAAACTGACTTTTTTTTTTTGTTAGAAGCTATAAAAAATTATGTGCCTCCTCAGTAAATTAATAATTCATAATATAAAGATAAGGATTTAGATTTCAGCCTTATTTTGTGTTTAGTGTTTGAATTGGTGGGGAAAAAAAAAAAAAAATGTAATCAACGTCAATGGCCTTCAAAAATGGATTACTTAAAATCCTTTGGCCTTCTGAAACCTTCTGAAATGAAGATTGTAAGAAAATGTTTAAGGGCATTGTTACAATAATGGAATGGTATTGACCTAATACCTAAGTAACCTGGGAGCATTAGCAGTCATGTAGGTAGAAGTACTGGTTGTCATGAAGGAAACTTCCATGGTGGTCTGGATTAACATATTTATTCCTAATTACTTTTGCCTAGCTGTTTCGTATGAAATAATTTCAATCTTTTTACAATGTTTTTCTTAATTGATGTGATATTTGATTGTATGAAAATTGCAATATTCTTAACTGCTTGATAATTTCCCTGATCTGAAGAAGGTAAAAGAAAGAAAAAGGGGGAAAGGAATATGTTGCATATTCTTATTTGTTAAGTCCAGAGAATCATTAAGAAAGTAACAAATGTGAAACTCATAAAACTATGGAACTTACTCAGTCTAATAGAATATAATTAAGCATAAGGTTGTAAATTTATCTAATCCTTTGACATGTTAAGAAAGTAATAAATATGGAAGTTTTTTAATCTGCTTGAGTTATGAGATTGTAAGAAAATGTTTAAGGGCATTGTTACAATAAAGGAGCAGATTTGTGAAATCTTTCTTGGCTCAATCTGATAGTGTTAATACATGACTACTAGTAGTTAAAAATTTTTATGATTTTATGATTCAAAATTTTTCTTACTCTTTTCTGTAATTGTTATGCTTTGTGATAACTTTTACTTTGTGTGTTTTTATGTTCATGTGGGGGTTGTTTTATCGTTAACATTTATATTATTATTTTAGGTTTCAAAATTTGTTGGTCTATTATGCTAATTATCAAAAATGATTTCTCTCTCAAAAAAAGCCAAAAAGGAAACATCAAAAACATATATGCCTACAGGAAAAGCTAACACTCGTGTTTCAATTAGGGACAGGCTTCTTATAAAAGGTAGTAATATATTTTTTTAATTTGCACAGCTCATCTTAATCAGTTTAATTGTATTTTTAATTAATTGACTGTTTTAGAACAAAGCCTATGTTGCTAAAAAAATTTTTTAAAATTCTGAAAATTTTAAAATAATTTCTGAATTCTTTAAATTTTTATGTTAAGTACTTGTATGATATGTTGACTGATTTAAAACTTCATACAGTACAGAGTCCGAAATACGGACGTCCATTATCCGGAATGATGTAAAACCTGGACTTCAAAACCACCACCAGCATTTTTCTTGTAGGCTTTACACATGCGCATTTAATTCCCCCCCCCCTCTACGCATAATAAAACATCTGGAGAATCCCGATTCTTAATTTCACGTCACTAAATAAAATACCTTGTTACTGAAGAAACTATCATTTTAGCATAAATTTGTACAATCAGTAATTTGGCTCCGTTGCTGCGTATGTGCTTGGCACACATCTCAACCTGAAATATTCTACATAGATACATCGTTGATCTGATGCCAACATGGCGAATCATTATTTATTATACTTTCCTTTAAGTTAAATGCGCTAAAAAATGTTGACGAAAAATTTACCAAAAATTTCATTCCGTATGCTGAAAATAGATTTTGTTGATGATACTCATACACCCAAAGATTACATTTAGGGCTATTTAAATGAAGAATAACTGATTTGTTATTCCCATAAACCCAGAACCAGCACCAGGGCTCGTATGGCCACACCAAGTTGCAGAATTTAGGACCCACAAAGACTGCATAAGGCGGTAAGATATCTAGCACCGTCCTTCAGTAAGGCTTAAGTATATGTGGGAATTTATTTATTCAGAACTCGGATAAGCCTTAAGCATATGCAAGAAATGGACATAAGTGTGATAAATAACTAAACTAATACAATTCAGGCTTAATTGTCTCAGTGCGTGATAAAAGCAAGATAAAATTTGATGGAACAACTTGTTGTTAGTCCTTAAGCTCATGATGCATAGCTAAATATGTATAGTGAAGGATAGCTAAATTTGATGATGATAGCCGCAATTTTAGGTTTTCAGATATTGCAAAACAAAGGAGAAATTTTCCAATTAACGGATTTTGTAAAGAAATGTGGAGAAGCAGTAATAAATGAAGATGATATAAAATAAGTTTTTCATTGTGATGACAATACTTTTCAATCATCAATCAGGTTAATGGATGGCGAAAACTGTAGTATGGTTCTAGATCCAGAAAATACTGCTACCGATAGTGAAGAAAGTGACAGAGAAGTTACTGAAAACCAGAAAATTTCAAAATTTTGATTGGCAAATTAGTCGGAATTCTCGAAACAACAGTTACAGGACTTCAACAATGTAACTGAACTAGAGATTATGTATGTCTGCAGAAGTAAAGAGGAAGTATTAGCACAAAAAACGAAGCAACTTAAACAATTTACATTGAAAAAAAATGTTATATAAGGTAAACAAATAAATATTAAGTTTTTTTTGGGGGGGGTGTAAATTTTGAAACCCTTTAGATCATAAATACTTCATTATTTTATAAATCACAATTTAATTTCTACATGTCATCTTATTAGATTTAAAATGATGATCTAATATCCGGAAAAATCCGGTATCGCCGAAGTCCTGATGAGTCCGGATTTCAGCCTTTGTACTGTATTCGATGTTCTGTTAAAAAATTAACATAGATGAATTTGCTTAAAAGAACCTAGACATAAGTCTATAACTTTAAAAAATGCACAGATGCTTGGAGGGCACAAATATCCAAAGTACTAGGTGAGACAATGATAAGATAATCTGGAATCGTTCATAAGAAATTATTCATATTACTTTTCATATTTGGAAACCATGACAATGATAACAACAAAGTGGTTGAAGTGATAAAAAGTAATAATGATGGGGGGGATTAGGTGTGCAGTCTCGTGTAAACTGAGTAAACTTTAATTAATGGAAATAAATGAGGTTTGAGTAATTAATAGCAAAACCTAGGTTTTTGAACCAGTGTGTTATCACATAATGTAAAAAATTATGCAAGAAAAAAAGACAATAAATTTGCACAGGGGAAAAATTCTGGCATTGAACTGAAATGCAGGATAATTTAGAATTTTTTGGAGTAATAAGTGTAAAATTGGAAACAATGTAGAAGACTGATACGTCAAATATGTAAAAAAAAAAAAAAAAAAAAAAAGTAACAATTAATTGTGCTTTCTAACATATAATACAAGGTAACCGAAAAAGTTCTTGCCATTTTAAGACAGTGAGAAAGAAAAAGTCATAAAACAAATAATAATCACCGCTAATCCTTAAAGAAAATACTGTCAGCATCAAGTGCCTTTTGCCAATGAGTGGCTAGCTGTGGGATGCCATCATGGTAAAACTCAGGAGTCTTGGACACAAAGAAGTCCATGAGTGCCTTATCAAGGTCTGGCTGGTTGTTGAAGGATTTCCCACGAACGTGGTTGTCCAGGGAATGGAAAAGATGGTAGTCTGTTGGTGCAAGGTCTGGGGAATATGGTGGATGGGGTATTGGGCTACCGTTACTCTCTATGGCTGCGCTCAGGGCCTCATCATCCAGTGCTTGTAGCCAACTACTGCATGGGGGCATCACCAAAAGACATCTTCTCTGATGTGAACTTCTGAAACCATTGCCTCGCAGTTTGTTCGTTAACGGCATCATCTCCAAAGGCCTGGAAAATTTGGCAACTTGATTTTGCTGCTGACAGGCCCACTTAAAATCATATAGGAAACAACATAAAACGAGTGCCTTTGACGCGTCCACTTCAATCAGTCGCTGTGCGAGTTATGTTTGAAGTACCAATGCAACACGCTTTTATACTCTTGGTCAATGTCCGGACTCTCATCCTGACCACTTCATCACCAGGTTTGGCAACTATTTTTATGTTCGAGTTCACTTTTCCAATGTCATATCAGAAAATGCAAGAACTTTTTTGGTTACCTTGTATTTATATTTTAAAATATATGATAAGTATTCAAGATTATGTCTTAAAATATTTTTATAATTTAGTGAATAACTGTGGAAAATATTTAAAAAAAAATATGAACATTTATGAATGTACAGAATTCTAATTACACATAAATTATTATGTAAATCCGTAACTATTATGCAAAGTGGCAAGTTGTGCTTTTTGAAACAAAGCAACAGATGTAAATGAAAATTAAAAAATTCCCGTTTTCAAGTAAACTAAGAACAAATTATTAAAAGTATGTATTGGGAAGATCTCCAGTTGATTTTTTTTTCCAATTATGAAAAGTTATTCTGAGAAATTAGAATTGCTTCAGAAGCTCTAATACTTGCATGAGCTATGGAAGTTACATGAGAATTTTGATAAGATACTTCAAATATTAATGTGTGTATTTTTAGGGGTAGCTATTTTTCTGCTTAAAGCTACATTTGAATTCATCCATAAAATTAGCAGTCTACTGTTTTAAAGATCAGATCTGAAGACTGGAACAGTGGGAGTACTGAAAAAATAAATTTAAGAATAATAACACAATGTGATTCTGAATCACATTTACTGGTGTCATTAAAAGTAACTTTAATTAGGCTTTATGTTTCGTAGCCACCCCTGAGGAACAGGAGCTAGATTTTAAAAGTTTAAAAAAAGTCTTTAATTATAAGAAATAAAGTATAAAATTTATTTTATCTGTTTTCATTATTATCTCCGTTATAGCTACTAGAATTATTTCATGCACATTTTACTGAAATTATATTTTGTACTTACTTTTGTAAGGTCAGGCTACATTTATTTCACAAAACGGAATTGTGTGAATACTCTGTAGACTTTTAATTTATTCTTGATATGTGCCTAATAAATTTAATTAATAATTCTGTCTGATTAATTTGATGAGTTAATTTGTTTTTCTTCAAATGTTAGAGGTCCAAGAATTGGAGGCAAATTTGCCGGCAACATGCAAAAGTAATTTTCCAAACCCTAATGAACTTCATAGGCTTGAAATAACTATAACACCTGATGAGGGATATTGGTGTGGTGGCAAGTTTAAATTTATTATTGAAGTTCCTGAAGAGTATAATATGGTGGTATGTTTATGTATCATGTATATTATAAGTTGCTTTTTTTGTGTGCTAATACTTTCTCTTTAATTTTAGAGATAAACATAATTTCTTGTTTAATTGCAAAGTTTCATTGTTTAAGTCATGTAATTGCCATGTCAAGAATTCCCACTAAACTATCAAACCTCTTTTTCACTTTCTTCATTATCAGTAGTGATATTTTATTTCAGAAACATGGTCCTAACCATGTTATTTATTTTGCCATCTGTTAGTCGATTAATGATGGACATTATCATCTTTTAGTGGGTTCTGTTATATCTTCCTCATTTATTATTGCTTAAATATGAAAATTTCTTCACAAATTAACTAATCCATAAATTCAATTAATTGGAAAATTTTGCCTTTTGCATGTGATATTTTCAAACATTTTCAAATTTATGGCTATGATCATCAATCATTACTATCTGAAATTTGGTAGCTGGCCATAAGTTATGCCAAGTATTTCTTTATAAATTTCTAGACCTGTTTCTATGCTCTACCCAGCCGATTTTATGTTAAAATATTTGAAAAATTCTTGAATTGACTTGCCACTGTTAAAAAAATTCTGCATAAATTTTAAAATGACTACTTTAACACATCACTAACTAAGTGACTAACTAAGACAGCAACATTCATTTCACAAAATTCACGTTTATTCATCAACATAATCACCATCAAGAGCTATGCAATCATTCCAACGCTTTTCTAACTTTTTGGTGCCATACTTGTAAAACAATTTGACCTTGTCCGCAAAATAAGCTTCAGTGGCAGTGTTAACTTCCTCATTCAAGCCAAATCTTTTCCCTCAGAGCATCTTTTTGAGATTAGCAAACAGCCAATAGTCGCTGGAAAGTATGGTTGATGGAAGATGATTTTTTCCTTCTTCATGTACGGTCTTTTTTTTTTTTTTTTTTTTTTTTTATTATTTTGTCCTTTAGACGCACCAGTAACTCACTGTAATAGGTGTAATTGATAGATTTTCTCTTTTCAAGGCAGTCGATGTAAATTATACCTTGTGCATCCCAAAACACTAACGCCATCACTTTACCAGCTGACTGTTGCGTTTTTGGATGCTTCGGACGGCTTTCATTGGCTGCACGCCACTGAGCTAACTGCCGCTTCGATTCCGGAGAGAAATAGTGAATCCATGTTTCGTCCGTTGCCACATACAAATGCAAGAAATCCTGTTTTTTACGAGTAAACAGCGACAAACAGCTCTGTGAATCGTCGACTTGTTGTTACTTTTCTTTCATTGTGAGCACATGCGGCACCCATTTGGAAAATACTTTTTCCATGCTCATCGTTTCATGCAAAATCATACATGCACTTCCACTTGTTATGGATACCATTTCAGCAACCTCACAAACTTCCACTTTATGGTCATTCATCATGATTTTCAACACTTGTTTCCCATTTTCTGGAGTGACTGCTTCATTTGGCCTACCCAAGCGTGCTGCATCATTTGTATCAGTGCGACCGCGCTTGAAATCAGCATACCAATGGCAAATGTTTGTTTTCGATGGAGCAGAGTCTAGGTAACATTTTTCAAGCCATTGCTGAGCTTGCTCGGTATTTTTGCCCGTTAAATAGCAATGTTTGATCAACACTCAAAATTCATTTTTCTCCATTTTGTCCACAAATGCACAAGTAGTGTCACTTTCACCACAGTAGCTTCGCTCTTTCTGGTCCGAATGCCATGAAAATCAGACATGTGTCATTTGAAGGTTAGTTCTTTTAAACAACAAAGTCAAGTTGATATTACTAACGCCATCTGTTGGTTAGTGCTGGGACTTGTTGAACGATGTGTTATGTCTGCATTTTAGCATACGCAGCACTTAATTAGCCATTGTCTGAAAGATGGATGTTCAAATTTGGTGAAAAGAATAAGATGGAGATTCGTTTACTAAAATTTTAAGTGAAGTATGAGTCAGACAGTTGTCAGTAATCATCTGTTGACAGTTGTCAATAACCACCAGTTTCAAATATTGCCAAGGCTGGGATGTGAAATGATTTTTAAAACTATTTATTCATAACTGTTTCTGTCATTCTTGCTGTTTAAAAACAGTGGGTGACGAGGAAAATTTATTCTTTAAATGCTCGATATCATGTATTTTCCATGATTACCAAAAGATGGTATTTGTTTATTCCTTCAGCAGTGCATGTGCCAAAATCATTAGTCTTCCTTAGGAATCTTTGAAAACAATTAGGGCTTGTTCTGCAGAGGTTATCAAGGTATTTTGACAAAAGAGGCCCTGTGGTGCTTACGTGTCATGGAGCAGCACCACAGGTCCAGGGCTGAACAAAGTTGACTCAGCCTTTCATCCCTTGAGTGGGTCGATAAAACGAGTACCAAGTTCACTTGGGAATTAAACATTTGCGACAATCTGACCACTTGTCCAGAGTACATGCTCGTGCACCCTGGGGGCGGGGACAGGATTTTGGTTAAGACTACTAGTTGCTTAATTTATTTGCAGTTGCATAATTGAAATCAAATTAAGTTACTTTCTGATTATCCACAACCCAGATTCAACATTCAATACTACTGCTTTATTTTGATGTGTTCCTCCAAATACAATGTGGCAATTAATAGTCGAACCACACGTGTGTGGATAACATATGGATGTATCCACTTCATATTTAATTGCCATTTCAATGAATAATATCCATTGGCTTTAAAAATCTAAATATTTTTCATAGATTTTTGTTCTCCTCGTAAAATACATTGCTTCTTGAGAAGTGAGTTTTTATTATTATTATTTATTTATTTATTTATTTATTTATTTATAGAAAGAAATCAGCTCGAAAGATAACTACGATTCACAAAATGTGTGATTTTTTGTGGGAGTGCTAATACTCTGAATGTACCCAAACTATTAAAGAACTTAAATGTCAATCCAGTACTCATTAGATAGATTTTTTATTTTACCAGATGGCTAACTTTTTTTTTAAATCTTAACATAATGTTGTAATTCTGGCAGGAAATTTTTTTTATGTGATGGTATTTATGTCGTTACTAATTGATAAAAAACTAAGTACCTTTTTTAATGTATTGATTTATCTTTTTAATATTTTGTTACAATATGTAGTTTCTGAAAACTAAATTTTTGCAGCTAATACCTTAATGATTATGTTCTTTACATCCCTCCCCCAAAAATATTTTTATGCTTGTGCTATCTACAGTATTATTTATAGTTTTATTGAATTTACTTATTTTCTTATATGCAAATGTACTAAAATTAATGTGTAACTGTCAATGCTTCTTTAGCCCCCCAAAGTCAGATGTCTTACTCGTCTGTGGCATCCAAATATAAATGAAGACGGAGCAATATGTCTGAGTCTTCTTCGACAGAGCTCTATTGATGGTCTGGGTATGTTTTACATGGCCTTGAGAAAAATGTTAATATTTTTAATTTAATAAATTTATTTAATTTGAAATCTATCACACACATACTTTAAAAAAAAGAAAAGAAATTCTAAAGCTTTTCTAAACCAAGTTCATGTTTGTATGTTGTGTGTTCTTAGAAATGATTGCCTATGTTATTTTCCTCATTGTATTTTATGTAACTCTATTCAAATGTCATCATGTTGAATAGAATGATTATGTAACTTGCAATGCATCACATTATTTAGAGTATTAGTGTAATTCATCTTTCCCAGAGTTTTGGAAGCTCTTTTTGTTGTGTTTCCAAAGAAAGTGTTTCGTTGGATTCATATTCACACTCTTGAACGATATTCTGGAGCCACTGTGATGATGACATTGAAGAATATTGTAGGCTACTAACTGTGTCAGACAGACAGAGCACAATTAACTTTCAAAATTTTCCAACTATGTGTATATCAGGCTTTCAGGTTTGTTCTGATCAGCAAGTCTAGGCAAGCATCAGCTGCAACAGCCAATCTTCTGTTACAAATCATGCTGATTATGATTTTATTTCTCATTTTAACCTATGTCATTTGACATAAAATGTACCTGCTATTTACTAAACCTGTAGACTAAGCAAGTATGTGACAAAATGAGACATAAAAGAAAAAATCAACATAAAGCTGTTTATAAAACGTAAATAAAATGTCACATATTTCAAATGTGTCCAACTGTTGTAAGTGTAAAATATGTTACTTGATAAGTTTTATAATTATGTTTATTAAATATGTTAAATAATAATACATCCTACTTACAGATCTCTTTTAATCTTAGTATGGTATTACAAAAGTGAAGTTTGGAAATAGACATCTTTAATCAAATATATTCAGTTCCCATTTGCTGATACGTCCTTAACTTTTTTCATTAATGGTCCTTAAAAGTACTTTATTTCCATATGCAGAAATGTGTGCAAACCCTGATTATTTAGTTTTTGAATAAATTTCCATCATCTATGCATATTTTTTAAAGCTAAAATACACTGTTGGCCATTAAAATTGCAACGCTATGAAGGAAAGCAAATACAAAAATGATTTTTTTGCACATAAACAGTATGGCATGAAGACAAAATGATTAAATTTGTAAGCATTTTAGAGGTTTACAGGGGTGTGAGATTAGTAGAAACAGGCCTTACCCAATTAGGTTTGGATGATAGAAATGGGCAACTCATTTCATGGTGCTTCAAGTCTGTTCTGCTTTTCATCAACCATATAAGCTGGACAGAGTTGGTAGGCCAGTCTCTTAGGATCCCATGACGAGATGCTTTTAGTGGGTGACATATCTGGAGACCTTGCAGGCCAGGACAGCAATTGGATACCCTGCATATTGAGGAAGGTTAGAACACAACAGGCAACATGTGGCCTTCCATTATCTTGTTGGAAGTTGGCATTTTGGGGCGTTGAAGGTAGGGCACATCCACTGGACATAAGATGTCAGAAATGTATCCATCTGTGTTCAAATTACCGTTAATCTGAACTAGAGCTGTCCGTATCTTGTACTCAGATTTCTGCCCCAACCCATCACACCAGATGCATGGCTCCTTTACCGATATCAAAAGCAAGCGGGCGATGTGTGGGCTCCTCGGACACTCCAGACACATATATGGCCATTGGAATACTGAAGCTAGAACCAGAACTTGTTTGAAAAGGCAACATTATGCCACCTCCTGTATTCAGCTTTGTCGTTCCACTCACCAGAGTCGCCATTTCTCTATATGCTGCATTTGTCAAGGGAAGCCGACGTAATAGTCACCCTGCTGATAAGCCACATTGCTGCAAACACTGATGCAACTTATGAGCAGATATACCGAGCATGCTGCAAACATGCCCATTTTCATTACTAATGGTCATGATATAGTCATACGGTTTTACAGGGCTGACCTCACAATATGTCTGTCTCGTCTGGTGTTAGTCACAGGAGGGCGTTGTGAGATCCTGCTTGGCGTTCAATATGATCCTCAGCAATCCTCTGATTCCATATTCGCATGACAGTGGTTGAATGCGCAGTGCGACCAGCGATATCACGGAACTATAATCTACACTTTCGATAGGCAACTCCTGCCTCTATCGAATTACAAAATTTGCTGGTAAGCATTTCCTCTTCTTATTCGAGGCATAACACGATATTCTGAGCAGACAGCAACCTCACAAAGCACTTTCCAAATAAGAAATCACATGTATTTAGCTGTTTGTTAACCATCTTATGAACATCAGCTCTTCTGCCCCAGAATGCATAAATCTTATAGCAGTGACGAACAATATTCTGGAACCGCTGTATCAATGTCCAACATGGAGGTCCTTCTCTTTATAATTTTTAACACTGCATCTTTAAATGGTTTCATCGCTAGCATAAAGTTTCATGTTGTGACTATTTACGCATTCTTGTTTATCAGATAAAAGACATCTTTCTTGAAAAATGATATGGCATCCATCTCATTACTTGGTGAATTAAACATGGTTAACACGTTAAAAGTTCACACACACACAAAAAAGCAATAAATATATTTTTAAATAAACATTATGAATTCATAAACCTCATCAAAAATGAATAATATACGAACATGCAGTGAGAGTAAAAATGCAACACGTTGCTATTCAGGGCTGTGGAGTTGGCCATATTTTGGGGCAAAAAGAGTTGGAGCTGGAGTTGCTAAAAACAGGTCGACTCCGACTTCAGTTTTTGTTGGACAGTTTGAATTTGAAATGAAATTAAAATGAACTGAAAAAAAATTATGACAAGCTGAGTTATTATTTTTATTTATGGATTATATACATTAATAAATAGTTATTTTCTATTTTATTGACATATTAATAAATAAATATAAGGGAGGAGGATAGATATGATGTTTGCCATTAGTGATTAAACTGATTAATTTAGTTACAAATCTCACTGGTAAATTTAGGTAAGCAGCAATAGCTCCCAAAATTGATGCCATTCTTAGGAAGGGAGCAGGAAAAGGAGCAATTATTGATCAAGCAACGCGATAAGGAAGTACATATTTGATTAAGAGGTTGTTAGAATTAAGAACATTTTTAGAAGATGTAAATAACCCTAATGTTTCACTAACAAAGACTGTGGAATAATCTTGCAGAATTGGAAAATTTTCTTTCTATACCATATAGCCACAAAAAAGCTGCAATCTGAAGACAGGAGGCGAGAATGGGATGTTTGTTCTTTCTGAAATGGAGGGTTTATTGCAGAAGGAATCATTTCTTCAATGAAGAAAAGAGAAACTAATTTGCCAGACAATGAGATCTTGCTGGGTTCAATATATGTAGATCCAAAGCACCGAATTTTCTTGGATGAAGAACAAATTAAAAAGGCAAAGAAAGCCATCTATGAACTTTCATTAAGAATGAAATTATTCTCAGAACAATTGGAGAATTCGAATCAGAACAGTCAAGATGCAGACATTGCAATTGAGTCTCTATCATCCACTTCTAGTGATGAATTAGATTTTGAGAAATATTTTTGGATAATATTGAAAAGGCTAAGGCAAAGCAAATGAAAATAAAGAACCAAGAGCTTTTAGATATAGAAATTAAAAAATACAAACAAGATTTATACACGGCCTTTGAAGAAATAGAGAAATATGATTGCACTTGCAAGACACCTCTTTCAGAGCATCTAAAAATCTATCCTGAAAAGTTAAAAGAAGTAGCCCAAACAGTAACAGCTCTTCCTGCTACTCAAATTAGTGTGGAAAGACTCTTCTCAGCTCTATCGGATCTATGACCCTTTTAACAAAGAAGATCTTGCCGAAACTATACTGTTTCTTAGAAATAACCAATGCCAGTTTTTCCACTTCATAATAAATGCTAATTAATAAAAATAATTTGCTATGCCATTATTTTTTTTCTGCAGCATTTATTACCTCTTTTATATAAAAAAATAAGCTGTAACCCATGTGTGTATGTTGACATATATATATATATGAGGGAGTCGGAGTCTGTCATTTTCCCTGACGACTCCATAGCCCTGGTGCTAATATACAATTGCGTGGTGAGGTATAAGAACACGCAGCCAGTGCTAATGCATGATCACATGAGGTATAAGAACACTCAGCCAGATTTTGGTGAGATATCTCAGTTGTTTGGGGATTCTATCTTAAGGGTCGCTATAACAAAGAAATACCAAATATTTTATGAATGCATTAAAGTAAAATTGTTCCTAAATTCCTATTGTTCATCATTTATGATGAAAAATACTGTCTAGCAACATACCAGGAAAAAAGAAAATAGTAAATAAATGCTCTAAATTTGCTCCGTTTAAATACAGGAGGAGGAATTTATAATATGTGTTATTTGTCATATATGGCTTATTTGCAAGTCTGTGGAATAAGCAGTTCTGTTAATGCTATGAGATGAATGAGAGGCCCCCCCCTCTCCCGACTGGTATGAATTCCTTTGTCTGGTCATGATATTTTTTGCCATTGGAATATGTTAGCTTATAATTAAATATATATATTGATTTGCTTAATAATGTAAATATCATCTTATTGAATGGAAATTTATGAACACTAAAACTAAAATAAGCAACTATACAAATAAGCTAAGAAATGCTATTCAAATGCATGTCATCACTTTGAAAAAAATTAATTTGGTAACTTCATTTAGTATTATTAAGGTTAGTGAGTTCAAAAGCTTTACATTATAAGGTGCCTGTAAATCTTAAAGTCCTTTCCAACCTGCTATGTTGAAATAGGAAAAAGGTTTTCAAGGCATTGTAAATATAATTTTCAGGTTTTTCTTTTTAATCTGTAATTACTTTGTTATTCAAATCAGGTTTACTTTCTGAAGAACTGTTACCTTTTGATTGATAACAGTATGTAGAAGACTAAAAGACTTATTGCTCTTCATTTTCTATTAGTGAAGATTTATTGTAAACAGTTCATCAAAATAGTGAACTGTAGCCATGAAGCATTCTGGATTAAAGATGAAGTGAGTTTTGTTAGAAAAATCCAAAATGGATGTAGTAGTTTCTACCAGAAGTGCAGTTTATGTAAATCTATAGTTGGTACTATGTGAAAAGACATAGACATGATAGATTCTGTTTTTGAAAAAGTAATTGAATGCAAGGAAAGAATTTTGAAAGACTGAGCATAAACATGTTGAAGAACCATATCTTAAATAGATAATCATTCATAGATGCTGCAATTTGCCAGTTTTTGCTTGGCAAGCTGAGACATCTCTGAATGGTGAAATCAAGAATTCATAGGTGCTTGCCTGGACAGGCTGAACACACACACACACACGCATGCATGCGTGTGTGGGGGGGTTTAAATTTAAGGTGATGTCTTTGTATCTCTTCAGTGAAAAAGATAATTTCACTGTTGATGAAGCTAGGATGTTTCAGAAGATAATGTTAAACCCGCCTTTTGAGATGATAAGTATGTATGCAAACTTGAACAGATTATAGGCTTTGTGTGATATGCAAGTTTCAAAAGTCTAGGTGAAAAGTTTGTTTTGACTATGTTAAAAGTTTTCCTGTTCTTATAAAGCCAGCTTATAAGGCTGACTAACATCAGCACACTTTAAAGAAGAGCTTCAGAAGTTGGGATGTTCACATTTAGGTGAAAAGGTAAAAGATACTACTGGAAATTATACTCCTTGCATAGATATTAAAAACTTCCAGTAAATTAAGATGAATTGTCTTGGATCTCAGTGCAAATTCTGTTGTGCAGTTTATCAATGAGGAAGTTAGGGAGGACCTTCTGGAAATCAGCTAATTTTTTATGTTTGATAGAGTATGGTAGAGATGTAAATTGTGATGTTTTCCTCCTTAATGCAATGCTGATGTTAGAGAATATAAAATATAATTATTTCTAAGATTCATTTTCTTTATGGGGACATTTATATGAGTGGGAATATATTATAATCATAGATATATTATCATACATATAATACATTTTTATCATTAAAAAAGTTTATAAGAAACTTCTTGTTAAACAGAAATAAATATAAAATTAATTATGTGAATCATATTTTAAAAACCTAATGCATTGTCAATCTCATTCTTATTGTTGGAAGCATGCTATGAATAATTTATTTTTGCAGGTTGGGCTCCGACAAGAACCTTGAAAGATGTTGTGTGGGGCTTAAATTCACTCTTCACTGTTAGTATTTTCTCCCATTTTCTAAATGAAATATTTCTCAGTGCATTAAAATTGTAATTAATATCCATTTGATATATTGATTTTTATATTGCGATTTTTGGTAGGACCTTTTAAATTTTGATGATCCTCTTAATAACGAAGCAGCTGACCACTATTCAAAAGATAAGGTAAGACTAAAGAGTCCTTTGGATGATATTTTAAAATTACATTTGACAAGTTATTGTTTCCATATTTTAATCTTTTTGTGAATTTGTTCTGGAGGCAAATATCAGTAATGCAACCATACTGGTGTTTAGTCATCATTGCATGATTCTTTACTGATAAATAAATGCATTTTTTGCATTATATTTTCATTTTTGACTTTCTTAAATCAAAAATGAAAAGTCGATATCTGTAATGAAAAGGGCATACAGTATTTGCATTACTTTATATCATATCAAATAATATTTGTATGGATATAAGAGAAATACGCCAATTTGACAATTAAAATCACAATAACAACCTTGTATTTAGGGTACATGTGTTAAAACACTCAATCGATTTCGAGAGCAACTAAAGATCCCTCCTCATCAGGAGAATGAAATTACTAGAAAGGGGGAAAAGAAGAAAAATAAAGCATTGGCAAAGGAGTCTCAGAAACACGTGGTCGTTATCTGCACACACATAGTCGTAACCGGATTTTGAATCAGATTTACACTGGCCGCCTACTTTTACTGAGCCAGGCTATCTGATCAAACATATAACACATAGACTAGAACGCAAACAAATCAGGGAAGTCAAAAAATAGGGAGCGAGGGGCAACTGCACCTTCATGCACCAAGACTGAACCTCGAATAAAGGAAAAGCTTGGATCTTGGATCATATCTTTACTGCAGGCTTTAGCTACTAGGAGCTCTTACCAATATATTATCTTTATACCATAGGCCATAAAGTTAAAAATTTAAGAGGTGTATTTAAAAATACACTGCGCCCGAAGGCGAGATCAATAAATGAGAGAACTTGAAATAAGTTTTGCTAAATTGCATATCATAGGTGCTTATATCAATGGCGGCGAGAGGCGAAATGAAAGTCTAAGCTTCTGGGTGAGTCTAGAAGAGCAGAAACACCTGATCAACGTCTGGCATTAAGATTCGTCGATGAGTCAGAGTTCGAAAAGTGAAGTTTTTTGTAGTTTTTGGAAATAAATAAAGTTCAAACATAGTAAAAGCAACATCTGTCTGTGAATTTAAGAGTCCTATGTCTTTTGAAACACTTGAAAATCATCTAAACTTGCGATATAATCATTAAATGAATAGGAAACTGTAAAAGGCAAAAATGAGGTCATGTGGCTCACTAGGGCTAATGAGTGAGAATAAGCACTTTGTGTTGACCACAAACTTTGATTTTAAAACACAAGATAAGAAATAGTAAAAATGAAAAGTAAAAGTAAAAATCTTGATTAAATAAGTAGTAAAACAAAGAATTCATCTATGAAAAATAAAGTCCTAACTTTGGCAAAGTTCATCTTTCTTGAATAGTAACTGAAGAATAATAGTAAAATAAAAAATTTGTACAATATATACACTACCACCACTTAGAATTGTGGTGGATCGGTCGAGGTCTTTTCACTAAAAGGAAAAGCAACCTCTGTAATGGCTTTTTATACCCTTCAGTAGTACCAAACGCGTGGAGGCAACGCCGTCTATCAGCAAAAATAATAAAGAATTATGATAATAGAATTTTAAAGGTGTTAGGGAGGACTGGATTGGATTTAAAATCATTCACTAAACATGTTAAATCCTTGTGAATATGAAAAGCTTCAAGAAAATCCAATTCACCGACGGAAGAAGCCTTTTGAATAATTTTTGCAGAACCAAAGTCAAAATTATGATTAAATTTCCAATTATGATATGCTATTGAAGACTTGTTAATTTCGCCTTTTCGGACATAGGATTCATGTTCTCAATACGAAACTTTAACGCGCTTTTTGTTAGGCCAATATATCTCAATTCACACTGACATGATATACTATAAATTCCCCAAGAATTAAAGTCAGAAACGCAATCTTTTAGAATCAAACTGTGAATTTTATTGATAGTGGAGTATTTGACTTGAAAATTGAATTTCTGGAGGCATGGAGTTTTTCTTGATGAATGCTTTCTCATCCATTATTGATGAAAAATATCTTAATCGGGTAGAAGTTGAGTTTTCTATGTATCAAGTAGATGATTTGAAAGAAATTGTAGATTTGCATATTGATATAGCATGGGGTATTATTATTAGTGTTACTTTCACTTCAACTAATTAATGAAGGTAAAACAAAAGTTGCTTACATTATTCTCAGTGGGTACATGCCAGGGCCACTGGTTTTTGATGCTTTTGCATCTATATCCTTCGAGATTAATTAATCCAAAATGATTAATACATCTTTGCACAAACACAGGTTTAATACGACGAAAATTTTACATAATATATTTTAGATACATGAAATGACTAAAAAGGTTTTAAAATTTTCTGGCACGATGCAGCATGCAACATTTTCCTTCAGAGTTCTCGAGCAATCTCTGCCCATGATTGCCTAGTTCGTAATGTCACACAGCAACATTGTATCTCAACAATGGTTGAGTTGCAACATGGAGATAAATTTCCAAATTAAAAGATATGAATTGGTGTATTTAAATACAAAGTATTGCCTGTTGTAATGCTTGCTGCCTTAATAATACCTCATTCAAATGCAGTTTGCGAAAGAATTTTTTCTATTATTAAAAAAAAATAGGACTGAATTTCAAGCAGAATTAGGTCTTAAAACTCTTGAAGCAGTTTTGGTTGAAAAAATATACAGACAGCCAAATGAAGAACTGTGTTATAAGAAAACGTTCTCAAAATCAGAACTAAGCATGCTACATATAAATCTTAATTTATAAATAATCATAATTTATAAATAAATTATAAGTATTTTTTAATAGTTATATATATTGGTCTTGGTTATCTAATTTTTTAAAATTTTATTTCCTTGTGGAAATGAAATCCAAAATAAAGATATGATTTATTAATTCTGATTTTTCCTATAATTAGTAGTGATTTAAAATACTTGCTTCAATCATATATTAGTAGATTTAGTGATATATATACTTGAGGAATTAAATAAAAATTTCTAATTAAACTTGTATATAGTTTACAAAACATATTTTTAATTATTCAGTTTTATATATATGTGTGTGTGTGTGTGTATTTTAAATGTAATAAAATTGATTACAATTTATGATTAATTGAAAATTAATGACTGGTTAAATTGAAACATATGCCGTATGCACACATTTTTTAAGTTGTAAAAATATCATTTGTGCGTTGACTACTGACAATTCTTGCTGCAGGTTGGAGTCTGTGTATACATAGATTTCAAATGTAATAAAATTGATTACAATAAATGATTATTCAAAATTAATGAATGATTAATTAACATATATGCCTTACGCGCACATTTTCAAAGTTGTAAAAATGTCGTTCGCCCGTTGACTACTGACAAATTTTGATACGGTTTGGAGTATGTATACGCTGGAATATATGGTAATTATAGACTGTTTGAGATTTTAGTGCAACTAACCCCAACTAAGTTTAAGCTTTGTGTTAGTTACCTACTGAAATGCAACATATAGATTAAATGCCATTGGTGGATTTTTTATACAAAGACACACAAAAACAGAACTTAACAGTTTAACATATTGTTTCGTTGCAAACTTGCTGTAAAGTAATTATACAAAAATAGTTTTATTTAATGAGTCAAATTTGGCAAATGCTATCTGTCTGCATTCAGTTTCATCTCAGCACTTTCATATTTTCAAAGGGCAGATGCCCTCTTATTTTGGGGAAAAGTACATTATTTCTTAGAGGCTGATGTGGTTAGTGACCAGGTTGCTATTCTAGAAAATCTTCTGTGCTTTCTCTGGTCAAGTATTTTTCCCTATTCTTTAACTCTTCTAAAATTTTTTCCTGTGTGTTGCTCACAGATCCCCTTCCCATGATAGCCTTGCATAATTTATAATGGCGTTAGTTTTAACAATAGATGAAAAGCTATACTTTTAACTAGAATTCCATTCATATTGCTATATAACTAAATGTAAAATGATGCATCGCAAAGTAAGTGTCAATGTATATTTTTATGTTATTTATATACATTACATTAATCTTGGCAAGATATGAAAATGGCTTAGAAGTGATATAGTATCACATATATTATTGAAATCTATTGTATTCTTAATTTTTATTCTAAAATAACCTTTTATCTGAATACTCAGTTATCTGAGATAGTATTATTCAACATTACCTGAAATGATCAAGAATTCTATTGTAAGTGGCAAAATTCTGTTGGAGGTTTTCAGTTGTAAGACTTTTTTTTTTTTTTTTTTAAATTTAGCAAATTTTGCTTTAAAGGTTTATGTTTGCATGCAACAAATATGTGGTAAATATCTATTATCTGTTATATTTGTGGTTTAGACCATGGTGTGGATTTTAACCAGATAACTGTCATATCTGGATATGCTAATTATCTGGTAAATTATGTGTATTTCTGGCTTATGATTATATGCGTATTTCTGACTTATACTAGTTGCTACGTGGCCAGCCGTCATCTGGCTTTTAAATGTACCGGAAATATGCGTAAAGGAAACACCAAACATTAAATTTAAAAACTGCACAGAATTTTACTCTGCAGAACAACTTTATCAAATAAATCAATAAAAATGTATTAAATATGAAAATATTACAATGAAATAAACAATAAATCTTAATACAAATATTAATTATCCTAATAAATAAATTAACCAACTTTCCATTGCTTTCTCGACAAACATCCAGTATCCAAGAGAAACATTAAATTTAAAAACTGCATTATCATCGTCATTTTTCTGAGTGGCAACAGTGCTGATATAATGAGAAAGAATTATTGTTTTGATGTGATTTCATCAAAAAACATAAAATAAAAAAATCTCATTCAAATTTTGAAAAAATCGCTTTGAGGTGCTCAGGCTCTTGCTTAGACGCACCTATGTACCAAATTTCGTAACCCTTGGTCTATTAGTTTACTCTCAGCTCGAGCGAAAAACACAGATACATTTAAAATGTTGCTCATTAATTCCAACATTATTTAACTTAAAACTTTATATCTGCCAGATAGATATCTGAATATTTGGCACCAGGTCTATGTATCTGGTATATCTCTAATTTAGAGAGATATTTCAACTATTGTTTACATGAGAATTACAGTCATACATAAAATTTTCTGTATTACAAGTGACAATAATACATTATACATTGAACTCTTATTAATTTCTAATAATAATTTGAAATTTCATTTGCTTTGAACAAAAACTAGAATTATGTAAATTTCAGTTACAAAAAAAAAAAAAAAAAAAAAAAATTATTTCTACCTACATTACATAATTTAAAGAGCTTTAGTACTTTTTCATGGGTTCAAATTAAAGAGAGTTTGGTTTATCTAAATTTTATTATTCGTTAAATAAAATTTGCTAAGTGTCAGCACATTTAGTCCTTTAATTAAAGGCAATGCAAGAAAAGAGATCAATATTTTTTATTGTTTTATGAATGATTTTTTGTGATTACTGTGTTTTTCAAAATATTTTAATTTTGAATATGTATTCTGTAGTTCTATAATTAACTAATTAGTGAATATTTATTATTGCAGGAGGGTTTTAAAGCAAAAGTGAGAGAATATGTCCAACGTTATGCAAAAAGATGAAATTATCCTATTTTAGCTTTTTTGTAAATATTGTTTTGTAACAAATATTTTCATTTCAATTATTCCATCATCAGTATGTGTTCAAAATAAACTACATATAATAATATTTGCTGTTAATTATTACACCTTTAAATGAGGGAAAAAATTGCATGATAGGCAGTTGTACAACAGTTTTTCATAGTATTTCAGAAGAACTGTTATTTTCTGTTCAGGGATAGAGACGTTTTTCATGTTGTCTCTAAAAAAATCATAACACATATGAGGAGTCGCCAATAAAACAAAAGTTCAAAGACCTAAATGTTTAAATTTTATATATTTGGATAAGGAACACTTGTAATGAATAATTCTAGTAAAAATTCTTATTTTTATCTTCACTATTTTAACAATTATATGAATTGTACAGTTAGTTTTTTGGCAAAAACTGAATCTTGGTGACTTCTAAATAACACTACATGGTTAGATGAATCAATTTTTGACTAATAGAAACATCTGATCTGCATATAATGAGCGATTTTCTTTCATCATTGTCCTCATATGCTGTGTCAAACCATGGTTTACTATGCATTACATCTATAACTATGTTTTTACATAAACTTGTCATTTTATGAATTTGTATTTTGTGTTGTAACCAGAACATTGCCATGGAAAAAAGTAGTAATAATAAGACATGTCATTTTAGTGTTGAGTAGAAAGAATAATTTTGTTTTATTTATAAAGAAAGAAGTGTATGCTTGTTAGGCAATTCAACTTTAGTGATTGCTAAAAGTATAATGTGGTTAGACATTTCATAACTAAAATTGTGCTTGCCAAACTCTTGTATTTCTGAAATATGCACTCCTGGGGGGGGGGAGTTTGCTGACCCATACATTATTTGATCAACTTGAATTAACAAGCCTTGATGTAAGAGTCTGTAAAGTATTCCTAACAGATTTTCTTAATATTTTGACCAATTGATCTGCCTGAACCATGTATAATCAATAAAGCAAAATGTGAGCTTTTTTACTGAGAAATAGCTAGCCCCCCCCTGAAAGAATGCATCTTGCAAAGTAATCCAAAATATTCTACCACTTTGCAGTGGTGTTTGCTGCAAAAGCCTATATGATCATGCAATAGATAGTGAAATGCTCAGTCTCACTACTTGAGAAGTTTCACATAAAGTTCACTTTTCATTATGTAGAAAAGCAGCTTAATTATGTTTGTGAATAGTACCAATATTCAAACTTGTTTGTTGCACAACAAAAAATTCAGCACAGATGCTTCTGAGAAATGCCACAAAATAAGTATTTAATTTAGTAACAATCTTGTAAAAGATCATTTAGCATAAAGGTAATTCAAGAAATTCCATTCTAAAGACAAATCACTGGATGTTGTACTGTGCGCAAGAATATCATTTGTTATTAATGGTGCTTGTCAAGCATTATAGATGACAGTACCGCCTCTGCATATTTGGAATTTACAGAAAGTTTTACTGCAACATTCTAAATTATGCAAATGAGTTTTGCACAAATTGGCAGAGGGTAAGAAACTTCAGGTGCTTTTCATCTGCTCACCATTTATCATCTCTCCCCAAATAATGTTGTGGTATTTTTTCCTGACATGTGATGAGACGTGTCCAATATATCATCAGCAAGCAGTCATAGTAGACTGTTGCTGAAAATGCCATTTTGTACACTACAAAGCCTCCTCTTCCATCTTAAGAAACTTATGTTGTATAGCAGGTGTAGCCAACAGGAGATAGTTTCAACATGCAAACAAAATTTAGTTTTGAATCATAAAAATAAGTGATCATGGTGTCTTTGATAGCCATATTTGATGTTCACAATTCACCTTCCATGCCATCCATCCAAACAGTGGAAGACCAGCATCCTACATCACCCGTCATGGGTTTATTGTCCAACATACTAATGGGCTCCTCATCTTGCCCTCTTTTAATCCTCAGCATAACAATACATAAGTCAGCAATCCTGTGTTCCTTTAGTAATGTTCAGTATTCACCAAAATCTTAACATTGTATTAGTGTTTCTAGAAAAGGTATTAGTATTACTTAGCACTACGACTGTGCAAAAATATAAATACTATCTAGTCATGTTTTATGTTAAAAGTAGACTATTTGTCTATTTCTTTTGCATTTTAGCATCCATTAAAATGAGTAGTAAACAAGTAAAAAATAAAATAATAATAATAATAATAAAATCAGACTTAATCATATCAATGAAGAATGGAACTTGATTATTTTTTTTAGTGTTGAAGGATAACTATTATTGCTCAATATGCATCCATAGCCAAAAGAGTAATGTGGGCAGGCATTTTTCAGCTTTACATAGCAAATATATAGCAGATTTATCTATAAAATTTTAACTTGAGAAAATATCAAATTAGTGATCTTCAGTCTCAATTAAGAGTTTAAAAAATTGATTTTAACCCTCTCTGTGGCATGGCTTTTTGAATTTGCTCATGAAGACCTGTATTTAAACAACATTTATTAACTAAATTTATATAATTACATTTTTTCAGTCTCTGTTTTCATAAATTTCCATTCTTTTATATTTTTACATCATTTAAGCAAGTAAAAAAGCAATATATTTTCTAGTATAAGCTAATATATGACAAGAGACAAAACAATTTTGTGACTGTATAAAAGCGGTCATACCACTTGGAGGATTAAAAGCCTGTGTTAAAATTACGCACAGTGACTATAGCATCATTCTTATCATAAGCCATGTGTTAGCAAAAATATATACAGTCAAAAGTCGTTAATTCGGACACCCATAATCCAGAATGATGTATAATCTGGACCTCAAAGCTACAAACTTTCTGCGCATGCGTCACGTTGACGCATGCGCGTAAGACCTTTACGGCTGCATGTTGCATGCGCATAATATGTTTATGCATGCGCGTTTAATGTATAATGCACGTTTTCAGATAACGTTGCAGATTACGTTGTTCCTTAATCTTCGAATTGGATCCGGCTTATTATTTTTTGCAGACTGTTAGAGCAATTTTATAAAAGTAAGCTTGAACTTTCGATTATGTCAAATAGAATTTCTGATATATATTTACTAATATGTAAAGGATCTACAAAGCGAAAGTATGTTTCGAAGTCCATTAAACAGAAAGTGGAATTGCTGCAAAAACAGATAAAGGCGTATCCTTTGATTATCTAATCATTCCGAAATATGTTTATCAATTTCAAGCTGCTCTGCAGGGGGAGGGAAATGATGCGGCGCGCAATGAATTGGAAGTTGATCTGTCAGCACTATCCTTATCTTCAGGGCAGATGTTTTTCTTTTATTTGGCTTATAATTTCTTACTAAATTGTAGTATTTCCTCTCAATGTACTCTGTCTTTGATATGATTTAAATCAAGTTCCTCGTCATTATAATTCGCTTCCGATAGTGAAGAAAGTGACACAGAGGTTATTGAAAACGAAAAAATTTCGATTGACAAATTAGTTGGTATTCTCGACACACCAGTTATAGGACTTGAACAGCAGAACTTTGTAACTAAACAAGAAATTATGTTTGTTTAATAGAATTAAAGAGAAAGTATTATCACATGAAATGAAGCAACTTAAACAACTTACATTGAAAGAAATGTTTAGTAAAGTAAACAAATAAATATTAAGCTTTTTCTTTTTGTAAATTTTGATACCCTTTAGATCATAATTGTTCTTTATTTCATAAATTACGGTTTCATATTTTTAATTTTATAATTTCTGCATGCCATCTTACCAGATTTAAACTGATGATCTATAATCCGGAATCGCCGAAGTCCCGACGAGTCCGGATTAACGACTTTTGACTGTAAAACATTTTCTGATGGGAAATTTATAAAAAGATGCTCTAGGAAATTTCACATTCACTTTTCAATGATTTTAAGAACAAAATTGAAATTATAGCTGCAATTAAAGATCTGCAGTTGTCTCAAAATAGTGTGATGCAGTGGATTTGGAAAATGAGTGAAAATATAAGAGAATAGTTATATAAACAACATTAACAAATGGCATGAACTACAAAATAAGAACATTAAAAATGTAATATAAAATTAAATAAATTAAAAATGTAATATAAAATAAGAACATTAAAAATAGAACATTTTTAATGTTCTTATTTTGAACTTCATTTCAGTGAATTGTCAGAAAAGTTACGCATCACAGTTTGTTTGTTTTTTAGAGATTGATCTAAAGAAGATACGTTGGATATGATTTATTTGAAAGTAAAAAACTAGATGTGTAGATATATTCAACTGTTAAAACTTCCTTACTAATTTTAAACTACTACCTTGTAAATTAATTTCCACAGCAGATAGGCTAGATAAATGGATATATATCTTTATGCCTAAGTGAGCGAGCTACCACTAAAATTCACCAACAAGTGTTATCCAGCAACAGATTAAATATAAAGGAAATAAAGAATACAGTATTCAAAAGTATTAATACTGAAAATGTGCTTTAGCCCACTACTTGGTCATTTTTTGAAAATTGCCAGTAGAAGCTCGGAATACGCCACATAAACAAAGTTGTAGAGCTAAGTAACGTCCATAAATCAGTGGGGCTAAGCTTGTGACGTCACAATGTATTCTCTATAGATATAGGAATAAGTATAATAAATTGTTTACATTTCAAATTACCATGATGCAGTAAGTGAACTGCACCAATTATTAAAACAGTAAACAACATTGCAGTCTCTCATACTCGTATTTCATATAGCTTCAGTATTTTCAAAGATTTTTAAGCTCTAGCATTTATACAAATAAAAAAAGATTTTTTTAAAAAACTCATATTATGGAACATTTTAATTTTATTTTTACAAATTACCTTGTTGCTACGTAATGACACAATTCCTTACATACCAGTAAGTAGACAATCTTCACTATTTTCTAAAAATTTTAAACGTTAATAAAAAAAAAATATTTTTTATTGCATGTGAACATCAATCACAGCTTTCATATCACTGTTTCTTAAATTTCTAAATCGCATCATATTCTCTGTTGGCATACTAAAATTCTACACTTTAATAAATAAAAAAAATCTAGTTTCTCGCAACGAAAAAAAATAAATACTAAAAATTTGGAATACACTGTTGAGTAGGTTGTCGGACCATGGAT